GCCCCATTTCTGTTATACCTGGTGTTCCCTGAATGTGTTCTCAGACGTATTTTAACAAAGTGTTCTCAGTGTGGGTCCTGTAAAACTTGTACCAGCAATTTTACTCAGTATTTTCATTACAAAGGACATCCTGTTTCATAATAATATATTATATTCATTTTGAAGGTGTCCTCATGTCTTACAAGAAGCAATTCTAAAAAGGTGGTTGATGCTGTTAGTTGGTACTTTGTTTTCCTTGTAAAGTCAGCATGGTATAAAAAATTCAGTGTAAAAAATTGATTTTAAAAGATAGATTGTACCTTGATGGTACCTTGTTATTTAGTTAATGTATGCCTTCTGTGATATGGAAGCTGCAGTATATGCTATTTATGTCCTAGAAAATATTCAAAAATAATTGCTGACAAAAGCCACTTCACAAGTTGACTCAGAGGTACATCTTGTAATCTGAATGTTAATATCCTGGATAGCTAGGCAGAGAAAACTATTGATGTAGTTTGAAGATCACGTAGAGTCTAGTCAGGATTTTAGTTAGAAAAGTGGGGAGGGAGAGTGATTGAGATACTTGAGTTCCCCCAGCTTCACTGAAATTTTATGCCTATTGAGTGTATGAATGAATATGATTTGTAATATTTTTGAAAAGGTAGATTTTTTGCTAGTCAGTTGGAAATGTTGCCTTTTATATCTCAGGAATTGATGTCTTTTCCAGAAGCAATTTGGAATCACCTTAATTTTACTCTAGAATCCACGCAGCCCCTAGTTTTACTGTGCAATCCATGACATTCTGTCGTTTGCGTTCTTTTTCCCCTCAAGCTTAGGTTCATATGAAGAAGCACTGATAAAAACCAGAAGCCTGATTCCTACTTCCCTTGCACGTGGTCTCTTCTGTGTGATCCATACAGAGGTAGTAGGAGCAGTTGCCACTGAGATCAAACTATTTCCCCAGCTCAAATTAGCATCTGGATCTGTATTTCCTAAAAAGAGCTCACTCCTTCATTGTGGTTTCAACTGTTTGGGAAACGGAGAAGCATTGAGGGTATTTTCAAATGAAATGATATTTTATATTTTCTCAATATTTGAAAATACCAAAGGTTATATTTTATTTTTTTTTACACCCAGGAGTCGTGATTTTATTCCTCCCTAGTCCACCTGCAAAAACATTGCTTCTGTGGCCTGATCTGATGTCAAACTATTGTGTCATAAGCGAAGAAAAACAGTGTTTTTACCTCTCTGGGTGTACAGTCAGATGACTCAGGCTGTAAACTGGAAAGTATTTTTTCCATCGGTGGCATTGGCCTGCATAGCAAACTCCATGGGCGTCTGTATCAGCTGCCTTGGAATTGCTTTTAATGTGATTAGGCTACTAATTAGCTGTCTCAATTCTTCTCTCCCTCCTGATGTTTTCTTTTGATTCACTTTGACTCCAAGGAGTCTGTATTGCGTGTATGTTTGGTTTTGTGTTTTGTGTAGAATCCCTAATGATAGCTTAGACTGTCCTCTTTTGGTTGAGAGTTTCCATGTGTTGACATACATTTTTCTGTTAAATGTCTGCATCAGGATTTTTCTCCAAAGAATAGCTTTTGCAAGGTGTAAACAATGTATTGTCAGTGTGCATAGATATGTGCATATTCATTTAAACACTGCTAAGGATTTTACAGTCTGAATGAGAATGTGCAGTTACTTCAAAACCATCAAGTAAATATTTGGTACTCGAATATTTTTTCACCAGGTAGTAACCTCACAATTAAATTATTATGTAAAGTCAGGTAAATAACAGCAAAAGTTATTGTATTAAGGCACACTTTGCAAGGAAACCAGTGACAGGGAAGCAGTGAAACACGCTAATAGATTATATGCTATAGCAATATATTGCCTTTTTATTGCTTTTCCACAGGCAGCAGATTCATGTACAGTTATTACTAGCTGCATTATCTGCTAGTTTTCTATCAAAAAAGATTCAGTCTATTGAATCATTAATCCAATATTTATCATTCTTATTGAAAATCCACTAGTGTTAGCGCTGTATAAAAGATTGACTTAAATCCACTGGTTTTGCTAAAGATTAAAAACATATTAACCTAAAAAGCAGAGTATTTCTTAGGACGTTTGAAACTATTCATTGTGCATGTTCGAAATGACAATTTTTCTGTGTTGCATGAGGAATGATTTTTTTTTTAAATCTCTAACATATAGTAAGTGACCAGTGCCATCCTGATTTGAAGATGCTGAATGTTCATCCAACTCATATTTTAAATTTTGATGTGTATTGCATTAGTTACTGAATATCAAGAATAAATTTTTTGCTCATACATAGAGTATAAAATGGGATCTTTTGTAGCAGCGCACGGCCTGTTTAGAATGATATAACAGGCGCTGAATGTTCACATATCAAACAAAATGCCATCTTTCTGTAGAAAAGAGGTGTCAAAAAGTTTCTTTGTACCTTTAACGCATGTGATTATGTAGTACAAAATGCAGAGTTTGTAAAATTTCTTGAATATACAGGCAAAAAATGAATAATTCAAAACAACTCGTAAGTTCTACATTCTATTGTATCTTTTATAACGCAGGCAGAAGATAGCATTGTGTTCCCAGTAGAGCTGAATTTGCACAAGTTACACCTCGGAAAATGCCAGATGGTCTATGGTCTACTTTTGAGAGCTGTCACATATGTAAAGATTTGAAAAAAGAAAGACAGCTGAATGAGAGCAGTGGATCATTAAAGAGAGAGTGAGAGTCCCTGGGTATCACTGTGTTTTAAGAAGCATTGTGTCGTTCCCCATATTACACCTTTTTTTTTTTAAGATATACACAACCTTTAAAAAATAAGGTAAAAATATTTCTGTTTTAAACTGAGTGGTTGTGGCTTAATCTTGGAACTGTCAATTGCTTTTCTTCTTTATGCTAGAATGTGGTCATATGATTCCTAATTGGTTTCAAGTGTGTTTTAAGCATAAGATTCAAGTCTCCCTTGTGCAAAATTATCAATAAAGTTAAAATAAATTTAAATTGAGATAACTAATCCATTTGGGGTTTTATTCCATTTTGATTTGACCTGCATATCATGTGAATACTGTAAAGCCAGTCAGCTAAAAAGTTGTATGTTAATGCTAAAAGACTGAAGTAAGACTACTTTGGGAACAGGATTATTTAATAAAAGAATTAAAAAAAAAATCCCTACCAAAACACCAAAAATATTCCCCAAACCCTTAGTAAAAATAATAATAAAAGCAAAACCATAAAATTGTTCAGGTTCCCCAAGACTTCCCATTCACCCACAGTTTGACAGAAACACACCTAATTTTGAAGACTGTATTTTGGATAATTTGTCAAGTCACTGTATTGTAGCAAAGCACCAAAAATACACAAACAACTGTAAGCTGTCACCACCAATTTAGCTGGCTTGGAAAAGGTCATAACTGTCAGTTTTAGAAACTCGCGTCCAGACATGCAGAATTTTTAGTATAATCTGTTGTTTTTATTTATTGAGGAAGGTTAATCCCTCCCCAGTAATGCCAGGTTATTGGTATAACTGCACCACTCCACATCTGGTAATTTGGCAGTGCAATTTGAGGAAACATCATTTCAGGGTATGTGAGAAACACTGTTTTTAATAGTACAATTTACATTTGAGTGGGGTAATGAAAAGAAAAAACTAGAGGGAACTATGTTTATGAACACTGAATTTCAGAGAGCAAAATATTTATTCCTGATGTTGCCAAAGATTTTATTCTTGACTGTGGTTAGGTCTACATTGACTGTTTTTAAATTGGAGTGAATACCTTTTTAATTTTAAGAAAATTGGTTGTGCACATATGTGAAAAGATGACCTACACAAAGGGTTCCTGGTAGTATTCTTTTAATGAATCCTATTCAGGTAAGAGAAAGCTTCCTAAAAATTTGGTTTGGGGCCTTTACAAGAGTCTGGAAAAGTGAACAGAATATATACTACAAGTTGAATTCCAGAGCAAAGAATTGCCTTGCTTATGCTTCTCTTCAAAAGTAAGTTTTGCAAACACTAATGCAAAAGTGAAAGAAGCAGCAGTTTCGGTATTGGCAATGAAAAACTTTTTGAGCAACAGTTAGTTGTTGAGGTGTCAGATGGCATTGTGCTCCTTTATGATACAGTACCTCAACAAAGAATGGTGAAGTTTTGTGCCCTCTCTTTAGATTGTGGTTATATGCTCTTGGAGTCTTAACCAGGCCACAGCAGATTCCTGCCTTGATTGGTTTTGTGTTTTTTTCCTTTGACAATTTCAGTTTGTTGCCAATAAAAGCCTTAACTGTCCCATTAAAGCAATTTTAAAAATTGTCATACTGAATTAAGCTCTGGCTTGCCGCAGCTGTGTGGTGTTTGAATGATTGTTCCTTCTAGTTACTGGATCACCTCCTCCACAAAACCAGGTTTTGATTGGTTCTATTCTTCCCAGCAATCCATGAGAGACTTTTTAGCAGGGCATTCAAGGCCAGGCTGGATCTGGTTCTGGGCAACCTGATCTAGTTGAGGATGTCCCTGCTCGTTGCAGGGGGTTTGAACCAGAGGACCTTTGAACATCCTTTCCAGCCCAAACTATTCTATAATTCTATGATTCTACACCTTTTTCCCTCATTGTCTTGCATTTCCCTCATTCTTTATTTGTCTTCCTTAACACAAATTGATCTTAGTTTTGCTACTTTTTCTCCTGTTCTTGATTTATTTTTTTTTTACCTTCTTCAAATTGCTTGGTTTATTATCCCTATGTGATTCACAGAGTCTTGCAAACCTTCTGTATGGTACTAAATGGGGAATGTAGGCCTAATGCAGACATGAGGTGTTTTCTGCATACCTGACAATTGTTTTTATCTAGAGCTATTTTTTGAGGTTTTGTTTTGATGGGAGAATGTAACTTTTCAGTCTATACTTTGATCAATAAGAGCAATGAAAGTTGCATTCCCAGTCTAGCCTGAAGTGTTCAGTTATCAATTTACAATTTAAATTAACCCTCTCTTTCTTTCATTTTAAGCACAACCTCAACGCTTGCCTCAGCCAAATACTTCAGCACTGGAAATGGGTGAGGAAGAAAGTGGCAAACTCCAAAATGGCCACGTGGGTCTGAGTAACGGAAGTGGAATTCACAATGGTATCAAGCACATGCCTGCAGACAACAGAAAACATTCGGCTCCTGTGTCAGAAAAAATGCACAGAAAAATTCAGTCCACCTTGTCTGTCAACAGCAATGGCAGCAAAAAGAGTAAAATAAGCTCTGCATTTTCTCAAAAGCCAGGTACTTCACCTGAAGGTAAGCAGAAATTCTTATTAAAAAAACCCAAACTGAATAAAAACTATCCAAACCCTGTTCTCACTAATAATTACACAATCAACTGAAAATAATTGAAGAGCATGACTCATGCTCCAGAAGCAAACAGAAATAATTATGATAAAACACAAGTTACTTCCCCAAAGGAAAATATTAAGTATTTGAAGGAATGTGAAGCAATGGGAGATTTCTTGCTTTCAAACATTTGGCCAGCATCGTCTGATAATGTTTTGATCACTGTAGTTAGTATCCTGAATTGATAGAAACTCTTGTCAACATTGTCTCATATACACCAGAAAAAAGTGTTAAAGCAGTAGTTCAAAACATAGTAGATATTTAAATCCAGTAATGGCAGGTTCTATGAGGGTAGAGTTTGCTTTTGAAAATGTTGTATTAGCAGATATTCTGATTAACCATGAGGTCTGAACACTAGATTTGGACCTGTGATTCAGTGTTTTACATGCCTTATGCTATATTTGGGCAGTAAATAATATGCATGAAAAAGCTTTTAACTCCATATGCACAACTTAAATAAGTAAGTAATTTCCCTTCCTGTTTTAGCTGCGTGTGTGTTTTCACTGCTTGCAATTACTATAATGGTCCCAGAGTTCCTGAGCCTCCCCTCAATCCATTCTCTTCCTATTAGCACTAATACAGTCAATGGGCTTTGCTCCTGTGTGTCACAAGAAGGGTGCAGAGGCTTTATAAAATTTTATTGGTTTGAGGCAGGCATAGATGCAACTGGTTAAAGAGCTCCCTCTGGGGGGCGGGTACAGAAATAGTTTCTTAGAGAAATGGGAGATGGTATCGTTCAGTGAAATGGGGAAGATTCTTAGCCTAGATAAAAAGGAAGAAGGGTCAGGACTGCACATAGTGGTCTGAATGAAGCCTACTCATGTCACTGGAGTGACTTATCTTGACTTAAACTACTTCAGTCAAACCTACTCAGTGAATTTATGTAGTAATATCAAGAACAGCTTCACTCGACTGTGCCGTGGGCTGATCCTCCTTGCTGTGGTTTATTTTTGTATCTTCAAGAACCTACTGTTATTTTTCTGTTGCACTTGCAGTCCTCTAACATTTCTTTCCAAAATCAAAACTTCATACATCCTATATTCCCCTTATGACTTTCTGTTATGTGGAATCCAGTTCACCCTCCAGTCTGATATTTTTCTGATATATTGCTCCTTCATACAGTATCAAAAAACTGTAAGTGAAGAGACCTAGATCTGTTCACAGGACTGGTACAAAGTGCAGGCCTCTGAATTTAAGAAATTCAACCTCTGAAAAAAAATTACAGCATTCTAAAGAGATGTTGCCTGCCTTGTTCATGCTGCTATACCGTTATTTATGAGAAACACTTCCTTTTTTCTTCTAAAATTATATTGGAATAAATACAGTCATTGTTTTCTTTTAATTATTTTTTGTGTTGTTTTTGTTTTTTGGGGTTTTTTTGTTGTTACATAACCTTGTTAATGATTATGTCAAATTACTGAATGAGGAGAAAATTGAGAAGATACCTACAGATTTAGCTCAAAATTCTAATTTCTTATTTTAATATCCAACACGTGATTGTGTTAGTCTCCCGAAACTGCTAGTGTCCAATTTTTATGTACAGTAAGAAATTATGGTATTTTTAAAGGCATAACTGATTATGATATAGATAATTAAATCATATTTTCACATTGTCTAACTTCTGCTTTCAAAGTACAGAAATGTAGGGTAATCCTTACTGTAACAGGTAGTTTCTTGAGTCATCTGATAGGTAAAATGAAATATAATCAATGTTATACATCTAACTTTGCAATGTTCTCATTTTGAATGTGGGAACTTGGATATACGCTCTGAGTAGCTTGGCCCATGTCTGCTGCTCTGGGTTTTCTTTTAACCAATGTGAGTGAAGCACATGTTCTATCATGCAATGATTAAAGTGTATCTAGGGTATTCTGATATACCTATAAGGGAATATTTGTTTTTTAAAAAATTTTTTTCTATTTTTGGCATTTAGTTTTGCTCTACAGTTCTCTGGCAGACATATATTTTTGTCTACACATCTGCATGCAAACGTGTACAAGCCACCTGACAGTTTCTTCAGCTTTTCAGTAATTTACTGAGAAGTAAATTGGGCTGCATGGGGGAACTATAGGCTATAAGTAATATTCTTATCAAGTCATTACCTTGCAGGAAGCATCAATATATACTTAATTTGTTCTATTATATCATCCTTCAGGTTTTTTTGTAAGACGCACAATCAGAGACTCTGACAATAGTCACTTGAAATATCTAAAAAAACATAAGAGCGCTAAGGAAAAAAATTATGTAGATTTATCTGTAACTTAAAAATAATCTGTTTATTAACCTAAGAAGTGTTAAACTTTCTTGTCTACGTCTGGATGGCTACACTTTAAAAACTTGTTACAATTAGCCAGGTTATTTGTTCAGAGGAGCTCATTTGAATTTCAACCAGCTATCTATCTATATATATATATATACATATATACACTTCATGAATGCATATAAAGCAACTATAATAAGCCAGAAGAGTGCCCTAGTATGTCTCGTGACTGAGGATTGCATAGACATTATTTCAAAATGGTATACACATTAATTTGAACCTAAGTTCTAAAGCTTCCTTGTATTATGAATCATAATTTTGTGGGCAAAGAGGCATTTTTGTGAGGAGTTGTCTCTTCTGATCCAATGACATTTCTGTAGAAACTGTCAAAAAGGTTTACAGGAGGGTAGAAGAGATAGGAAACTGTTGGAAATTATTTGCAGCGTTGCTTAACGACTCGACTTTGCTTTAACTTGTACCATGTTAACCTTAGAAGCCATTGGTTGCTGCTGAAGAGATGCTGGGTTTAAGTTTACTTGAAGGTATGCATTTCCATGCATATCTATACAGTATAGTAATATAACTTGTATGCAGGTTCTTATGTAACCTTATGTAGAAGGAGAAAAGTTATATTAATTTCTATACTGTGGGTGTTGAATAATCAATCACCTGAATTAACTCAGGTACTTCCTTTTGCTATAGTGTCTAGATAATTTTAGTAGAAAGAAATGCAGATAAACTTCTACACTTGCAGTTATTCCAATTCACTTGTAATTTTGCTATTCCTTATATAGGACCTTAGATTTTATGGTCTAAATTTTAAGGGTTTTTTTTGTTTGTTTGTTGTTTGTTTGTGGTTTGTGTTTTTTTTATAACCAAACCTGAAAATGCATGCCATGTATTTTTACTTTATCTGCCTTCTCTTCCACCATGAGTGCTCTGCACTCTTGCCAGTCAGGAGAATAACTGGTTTTAAGCGAAGCAAAGTGACCAGAAAAAAGAAATGGAAGAAAAGTGAAAATTATGGTCATCAAGCTGACTATAGAAAAGATAAAATATTTTTCACTTTATTACCTCCCAATAACTGAATTCTTCTTGCTGCTTCTTAGAAGACAAGATTTCTGGAGCACCACACCTATTTGTAATGCAAAATAAGTCCAGGTCTTGTAGTTATTTTGCTCTAGAACATATTATCTAGTGACAGAATGGAAAACCTGGTAGTGCTTGAAGCAGGATAGACTCAAGAAACATGGCTTGCCACCCATCCTGTGCAGGAACCTATTTGGGCTCATGCTTGTTTAAAAGGTTAGCAAATGCAGCATAGAATCATAGAATGGTTTGGGTTGGAAAGGGCCTTAAGGTCATCTAGTTTCAACACCCCTGCCATGTGCAGGGACGCCTCACACTAGACCATGGTGCCCAAGGCTCTGTCCAACCTGGCCTCGAACCCTGCCAGGGATAGAGCATTTACCACTTCTTTGGGCAGCCTATTCCAGTGTACCCTCACAGTAAAGAACTTCCTTCTGTCTAACCTGAACTTCCCCTGTTTAAGTCCATTACCCCTTGTCCTGTTACTACAGTCCTTGATGAAGAGTCCCTCTCTGGCATCCAGTCCCTCTTTGGCATCCAAAAGCATGCTGTTTCATATATTGCAGTCTTCAGGATATATACCAGAAGGCTAAATGAAGTTCAGTATTATTTTACCCAAGATAGCACATCTTCCCGTGAAGGTTAGTTCTTCTGCTGTTGGTTTCCAGAGTACTAGACAGCCCTAATGCAAGCTATATAGCCCCCCAGTACTCCACCCCACCAAAATCTCCCCACGATAGTTAACTCTTGTATTAATTGTTCCAGCTGCAAACTCCTCTTGCACTGTAAATCAAATCTTGTGAGCTTTTGGAATTGAAGTTGCGTTGGAAGTGCTTAAAATGTAACTGGAATTTTGGTAGCAGTAGTGTAGAAGCTTTGAAAAATTCCCTTTTTAAATGAGCCTGTAGTGTATGGAGTTGCGTTAGCATTCCAGAATATGCTGTTTAGGAACATTTTCACATCCAGTGAGGCTTAGGAGGGTGTGAATGCACTCACCAGCTCTTCTTTTCCTGTGCATCTATTGTTAATCTGTATTGTCTCCGAAGAAATTTTACTCAGCTCCATAATTTACATTATGAAAACCCAAAGGAACTATGAAATAGTAGGAGCGTCTCTCATAAAAAACCAGTTTTTAAACACTGTTTCAGTTCTAACAATTTTTCAAAGGGACTGAACAGGTTTCAGTGCATATTGGCAATAAAATATTTTTTTTTTATTCACAGAAATTTTAATAATATTTTAGCTATTGATGTCAGAGGTGTCACAGTTTTTCCAAAACTCTGTCTGGTAAGACTTCTAGCAGAGAATTGTCACTCCTTTGCCCCTGTTGTGTGTACTGCAGAGACACACCTTGGAAACCTGAAAAAGCTATTGTAAACAAGTAAAAAGGCATCAGTCTAGCTGCTGTGTTTGGAAGCAGTGGTACCTGTCTGAAGCAACTTAAACAGAGGAGGAATTCTGAAGGAGGTAGCAATGTAGAAGCTGAATAGTAAATCTACATGTTAGGAAATTAAGAAAAATAGGTGACTGAATACATACATGTGTGTATTAGAGTAGC